GTACCACCTGCAGGCTACACATCATCTGGCATCCACTTGGGCAGCATCCAGACCCCCAGGTTCTTGGCAGGGGGATGCTGCTAATAAGCTTTCTCTGAGCCCCTCCCTGGTTCCCATCCACCCCCAAGCCTGGCACTCTGAGCACTGATAGTAGTTAGATTTAGCAACCTTCTAAATGCCCACAACGTCCCTCTCATCTAACATTGTTCTGGACGTTATTGGAAAGGATAAATAGACATAGCAAAGAAGTAATGCTGAAGTCAGGTTGGTTTCAATTTATGGTGACTCATGAATGAGAGACCTCCAAAAGATCCTATTATTAATAGAGGTGCCTTGGTCTTGCAAACATAGAGCTGTGGTTTTCTTGAGAAAGTCAATCCACCTGTAATTCATACTTCCTTTTTTCTTACTGCCTTCCACTCTATTGAGCTTTGTTGTCTTTTCCATGAGCCATGTCATCACATATGTCCAATGTACAATTAATTTAGTCATTTTGACTTTCTGGTGAGAATTTTGTAGTAATTTGTTCTCAGTCTCATTTATTTATATTTCTGGCAGTCCATGGTGTCCACAGAACTCTCATTAAGGATCACATTTTAAATGAGTTGATCTTTTTCCCATCAGCTTTCCTCACTGGTCAGCTTTCCATACTTAGAAATTGGGACTACTATGGTATGGATGATCCTGACTTTGTTTTTCATGATGTGATCTTTTCACTTTAGGATATTATCTAAAGAAGTCTTAGATTTCTTCTTATTTCTTCATTTTAATTAATGGTTGAACCAAAACATCGAAAATCTTTAAGTACAGTTATTTCAAAGTCTTTATCACACACTTTAAATTTATGTAAATCTTCTGTGGTCATTATTGATGTCTTCCTAAAATCCACCACTAACCCAGCTTTTGCACTTTCTTTCTCAAGTTTCATCTGTACTTGTTTCAAGTCTTTACTATTTTCTGCAAGTAATATAGTAATATGGGGATTCAGTGGCTCAAATGGTTAAGACACTGACTCTGTTGATTACAAGATCGGCAGGTTGGGAGTTTGAGGCCTGAGTGCTGCATGATGGGATGAGCTCCCATCACTAGTCCCAGCTTCTGCCAACCTAGCAGTTCAAAAGCATGCAACTGCAAGTAGATAAATACATACCACTTCTCAGTGGGAAGGTAAACAGTGTTCTGTGCAATCATGCTGGCCACATGATCACAGAGTCATCTCTGACAACGCTGGCTCTTCGGCTTAGTAACAGAGATTAGCATTGCCTCCTATGGTTGGATACCACTTGACAACCTTGTCAACAGGAAACACATTTACCTTTTAATATAGTAAAATCTGCATATTTTAAATTATTGATATTTCTTCCTCTAGTTTTCACACCTCTTTCCTCTGTGTCTAATCCTGCTCTCTGTGTGATATGCTCTGTGTATAAATTAAACAGATCAGGTGATAAAATGCACCCTTGTCGGACCCCCGAGACAATGGGAAACCATTCTCTTTCTCCATATTGTATCCTGGCAGCGGCCTCCTGTCCAGGGTATAGATTGTGCTTTAGGACAAACAAATATTGTAGTGCACCTATTTATTTTAGAACAACCCCTGGTTTTTCATGATTTACACAGTCAAAAGCTCTCCTTTAGTCTATAATGCACAGGCTGCTTTTCTTCTGAAATTAGTGCCCTCTCTTAATCATAATAAAATTTATTTTTATCCCGCCCCTCTGTGTAAAGCAACCAGGTAGGCTTACAACATTAAAATATACATTTCATATCCTGCAATCCCACCCCCCTTAAAATGCTATCAAACAATGATAATTTAAAACACGCTTAAAATGTTAATACAAATAAAAAATAAACAAAATAAACAGTTACTGCAGCAGAATCCGGGGAGCAAATTGGGCTGTCTTTTGATGGTCGGGATATCTATTCAGGAAAGGCCTGCCAGAAGAGATCCATCTTAATAGCCATTTTAAAGCTGTCTAAGGTGGTAATATGATGGATCTCATCCTGCAGGCCATTCCATAATCTGGGAGCAGTTGCCAAAAAGGTCCTCTAGGCAGTTGCAGACAACCTAGTTTTTATAGGCTGCAGCAACTTCCTCCCAGAGGACCTGAGTGCATGGGGTGGATTACATGGGAGGAGGTGGTCCCGAAGATAGGTTGGACCCAAGCCATTTAGGGCTTTAAAGGTAATAAACAATACCTTATACTGGGCTTGGAAACTAATGGGCAGTCAGTGAACTGATCTTAAGATTGGTGTTATGTGGTCTTTTCTCGGTGTTCCTGAGACCAGCCTGGCTGCCCTATTCTGTACTAGTTGAAGTTTCCGGACCAAGTATGAGGGTAGCCCATTGTAGATTGCATTACAGAAATCAAGACGAGAGGTTACCAGCACATGCACCATAGTTTCAAGGTTTCTAACTTCCAGGAAAGGGCACATCAGCCAAAGCTGATAACAGGCACTCCTGACCATCGCATTTACCTGATTTATCATCTGGAGTGATGGATCCAGGAGCACCCCCAGACTGCAAACACAGTCCTTAGAGGAGAGTGTGACCCCCATCCAGGACTGGAGGTTGCATCCCAATACCTGGTTTCAGGGCTGCTACTGTAAGTACCTCCATTTTATCTGGGTTCAGTCTCAATCTGTTTTTCCTCATCCACTCCATTACTGCTTTAAGACAATCATTGAGGAGAGAGATGCCATCTGAAGTCAAAGCTGAAGACCGAGACATGGAGAAATATATCTGGGTGTCATCAATGTACTGATAACACCCCACCCCATGTCTCCAGATGATCTCTCCCAGCGGCTTCATATATATATTGAATAGCATCGGGGATGGGATGGTGCCTTGTGGGACACCACAATTAAGCTCTTTCCTTGAAGAGCGACTGTCCCTGAGCATCACCCTCTGGAAGCTGCCCGAGAGGAAGGAACAGAACCACTGCAGTGCAGTGCCTCCAATTCCTAACCTTCTCAGGCAATCCAAGAGGATGTCATGATCTATTGTATCAAAAGCTGCCGAGAGGTCCAATAGCACCAACAAGGTCTCACTACCCCTGTCGATGCCCAGACGAAGGTCATCAGCTAAGGTGACCATGGCAGTCTCAACTCCATATCCTGTCCGAAAGCCAGTTTGAAATGGATCTAGATAATCGGTTTCCTCCAAGACAGCTTGGAGTTGAAGAGCAACCTCCTTCTCAATCACTTTGCTTAAAAAAAGTAGCAAGGGGATGTCTAGAATTTCTTGGTTTGTATATAGCACAAGTCCTCAAGGTAATACATCGAGTATTGCCTGGGAAATTAGTGCAATGGTTTAATGGTTGTTTCAGTTCCTGGTATCCCTTTTCTGAGGGTTGGAAGAAATGTTTCATTCTTTCAGTTTGTGAGCCATTGTTTTGTTTTCCATATTTGGCACTCAAGGCTGCCAGAATCCACTGACAGAGGGGAGGTAGTCACTAGTTTACACTTTGCCTAACACCCACAACAGACATATGTTGTTTGGGCCTCTACTGTTGTCAGAGCTAGGGATAATTTGCTACATTTATATCTTGCTTTTCCTCCAATGAGGAAGTTTTCATCTTCTCAACAACCATGTGAGATAAGTTAAGGTTAAGAGGTAGTGGCTGGGCCAAGATCTCCTGATAAGTTTTATGGCTTGTTGGAGATTTGAACCTTTGTCTCTTCATTCTTAGTAGAGACAAAAAAATGTAACAATGGGGTGGTAGTGGTGATGCTCACCACATTCACTACTACAGCAGCATCATTGTATATAGCAATTTCCAGAATTCTGTAAAAACCTGAGAAGCGATTACCTCAAACAAAACTAAGAACTGGATATGTGTAAGTAAATGCCTGTAGCTGAAACTACACACAAGACACAACTCTTTTGAAAAGGCCATGTAAGTCATGTTCTAATTATCCAATGGGAAAAAATGGAAAGCATTCTATATCCAAGGCAAATATTATTGTAAAGACCTCAGGGGCTTATTGTAATTCTGTCCTTGTGGGCATCTGCTTTCCAGATATTTTCTTATGGAAAATATGACCCTTTCCCCCTTCTTTTTACTGCTTGGTCCTCTGGAGTGGAATCAGTCAGGGAGCAAATCAGGCAAGAGCCCTGCCAAGGGAGCGTGACCTACTGCCATTAATTCTGATAGAGCAAAGAATGATCGTGTCCACAAGCCTGGTAAAGCTGATGCAGCAGAAGAGAATAACAGCCTATAAAGTTTGCAGCTCATGCTGGCCAACAGCTCTAAGACAAAGGTGCCCAAGGAAATATTCATCATCTAAAGAACTTCAGGATCTGAGTGGCATATTGAGTTATTGCAATGACTTGTCCTTGCTAGAGACTTTGTTAAAGCTAATTTAAGCTGCAGCACAGGAAAATGTTTGCTGGCTCACCCTTGTGGTTGAATGGCACATTACGGTGCTAGCTTGCATCTGTGTTTGGTCCAAAGAATAGGTGACTTTGAATGCTCAGGCCTTGTTTCAGTTTGTCTATGGATTCAAAGTATCTCTGTACATGTTGTTTCTTTGGTGACATTGCTGATACTATCAAGGGGTGTGAGAATAGGGTTTCCAATTCAGGATCATCCCAGCCCCTGAGATTTCTGGGCCAAAACTTAGAGATAACCCTTGGTGACATCTTTAAGTATTATGAATCAAATACCAACCACAGCCACTTACAGCTCATTATTCATACCCTCTTTCACACACACAGAGAGAGACCAGAGATAATATACATTCCTAATTGGAAATTAAGACAGAACTCTAAAGGAGATTGTCCCAGATTAAGGTGAAGTGAGAGGATTGTTCCTTCTTACTCAAGGAGATGGGACATTGTTGTTTTATCCCTTTAGGTAATTTCTAGCTTATTTAACACTAAGGTGAATGTATCATGAGGTTTTCTTGGCAGGATTTATTTTTTTGGGGGGGTTACCATTGCCTTCTTCTGAGGCTGGAAGAGTGTGACTTGCCCATGGTCACACAGTAGGTTTCCATGGCCAAGCAGGGATTTGAACTCTGGTCTTCAGAGCCATAGTCCAACACTCAAACCATTACACCATCCTAGCTCTCTGAGGAATGGGATAAGGAACATTTAATCTCTCCTCCTTGGTTCTAGTCAGAAGAAGGATGCAGAGTAGTGTGCAGAGCAAGCCCTGATACTATAAAGACTTGGAGGGAATGAGGAAGCTAATTAAGTAACAATAAAGACCTCCTGGAAAGTCTTTGGAAATTACAGCAACAAATAGGTTAAACCTTGCAAAACTGTAGCAAGCTGCTGCTGCTCTACGAGCTGAGGAGGAGATTTCCATATATCCTTTTCCTCTTGCCTAGAGCTGAGTCCACCATAACTAGACAATTTGCACCATCATCTCCCCACTTGGAGATGACCCACAAAGACTGGACATTCAGGGCCATGACCTGAGATATGGCAACCCTAAAAGGTCACAGTGACCCAGTCCAGACTGGAGGAAAGATTATGATTACATATATCATGCTATTTAATAATCAATAAAACATTAGTAATATTGTGTTTTTATTATTTTTACAGTTCCAGGTTATTTCTTAAAGTGTGCAATCAACCCATGCTGATTAAGGTAAGCCTCCCACAAAAACAGAGAGGCTGCAAGGGAACAATGGGTTGTGTAATGGGGGTGATGCCAATATATTATCTGTAAATGAATTCTCTTCTCCTTTAACACACAGATCCAGGAATGGACTATGGATATGGAGAGAAAGAGATGGAGTGTTGTGTAGTTGGACACTAGAAGAACTTGACAGGACCTGGTTCTAGTCCTAGTGAACCATGAAAGTCACTGGATGATATGGGACCAGTCACTCTTTCTCAGCCTGAACACCTCACAGGGTTGTCATGAGAATAAACTGAGAAGGAGAGCTATGAACACCACCTCGAGCTCAATGGAGAAATGGTGAGTTATAAATGCTATTAAGAAATAAAAATAGAGGTAGATACTGACGGAATCACTATGGGCAGGGGGAGCAGGTTTGGCCCTTATCCTAACAGTGTCTATGACAGCTGATACTGTTTTTTCCAATGTATGCATGGATGGATGTGAGAGTTGGACAGTGAAAAAAGCAGATACAATGAAAATTAACTCATTTGAGATGTGATGCTGAAGATACTGTGGACAGCCAAAACAAATGGGTTCTTGAACAAATCGAGCCTGAAATATCCCTAGAAGCCAAGATGATTACACTGAGGCTGTCATACTTTGCCCACATCCTGAGAAGGCACAACTCATTAGACAAGACAATGATGCTAGGAAAGTTTGAGGGTAGTAGAAAGAGAGGAAAATGGCAAACCAGATGACTAGACTCAATTAGGAAGGTCACGGGCATGAATCTATAAGACTTAAGGAGAGCAGTGGAGGACAGATGGTCTTGGAGATTTCTTATCGACAGGGTTGCCATAAGTTCAGGTTGACTCAAGGGCACTTAAGAACAAGGGTTGAATTACCCTCACTCTACCCAGGTTTTACTTAGAGTCTAGGCACGCCTGGTGCCTGGTCCACATTTGGACTATCAACTGGGCATCTAGGCATAGGAGGGGTGCTGAAAAATTCTAAGAACCATTTCCCAAAAACTGAGCATAATTTTGTCACTGTAGCTTGAAATAATGTCCTTTTATATTGTAAATTTCCAATTTGCAGGATTTTAACTCTATTTTCTGGATTTTTTCAGGTCATTGATAGAATCTTGTCAACAAAAAGTGTGAAAATTTCAAGTGTTGAACACCAGGTCATCATGAAGTTCCTGTTCCTGCAAAATAAAACTCTAAAGAACATCCATGAGTGTGTGATGTAAACATTGAGTGACAAGTGCCCATCATACTCAACTGTAAATAAGTGATGTGCCAACTTTCAGCATGGAGCCCAAGAACCACCAGTCCACAGGGCTTCCATTTCATCAGGATTATGTTTTGGTTTATTGGCCCTCAACCAGCCTATTATAGCATCTACGCCCAGCACCTTGACTACCCCAGCTGACTCCAGTTACAAGCAGAAGACAGCTGAGTGTCATCAGCATATGGATGGCACCCTACCCCAAACTCCTAAAGACCCCTCAAGTGGCTTTATATAAATATTAAACAGAATGGGAGACAAGATGGAGCCCTGTGGCACCCCAGCACCCAGTGGCATTGGGACTGAACAATGCTAATCTCTGATATTGGCCCCACAGATAGAGGTAGAACTACTATAACAAAGTGCCTTCAACTTTCATCTGATGGAGCTGGTCCATAAAGCTACCATGATAAGAGATACAGGATGATCAACAGGGTAGCATTCCTATTGTCTTTCATCTAGAGCAGGTTGTCAGCCAAAGTATCTAAGACTGTTTCAGTGCTATGCTGTGGCCTGTAATCAGACTGAAATGGGTCCAATAATCTGTTTTCTCTAAGAACTCTTGAAGTTGTCCAGACAACACACAGTCAAGCAACTTGGGGATATTAACAGCAGGGTGGTAGTTCTCATATACCACTGGGTCCAGGGAGGTCCTCTTCAGGAGACAACATACCATCACCTCCTTCAAGGCAACAGGCTTTTCCCTCTGAGGTAGTGAGACATAACCATACTATTGATTCATTTACTCAATCCACTTCTGCTAGGTTTTATCAGCCAAGGAGGGAAGAGGACTGTGTGAGTGGAAATGTATAAGTAGCAAAGGGAAAAGTGCACTGTGAGGTAAGGTGATGGGGGAGTGGGAAGAAAAGGACAGTGAAGGTTGAAAAATCCTGGAAGAAAAAAATGTAACAATTAATTAGCTGAATTTGCCTACAAATGCAAGCTATACTAATTTGCATAGCTAGCATATTTGAGGAAAATAGCCTTGGGGCTCTATGTGGCCCTAAGATTACACTTTACCCTAACATCACATTTACAAGATATATCTTCAGCTTTTGGACCATCTGTGTGTTTTTCCAGTTTGGTAAGTCCTGGCCAAATTAATAGCTCAAGACAGGATATGAAAGTCAGGGAGAAGGGGTACTTTTTTTTATAAATTACATATCCATTTTTTTAAAAAAAAATCAAATCAACACAGTGCTTATCTTTGGAATTCAAGCTGCACAGGTGCATCATAATTTCATAATATTCTTGAGATAAATTACGAACAGAAGACCATTTTCAGGGGCAAAGGAGCTTGCTTCAAAATACATTTGTGTACTGCAGGCTCCATAAATCCATATTTGTAGCCTAATATTTTTGAAATTCAACAACATCATCAATATTTTACAACCTTTGGACTGCACAAACAGGAAACTGCAGGATCATTAGGGATGTTCCATTGCCCTGGATCCATTACCCTAACAAAAGATGATCATTATGGCCTGTCCATTCAGTCCGCTTAATTCAGCTGACAGAAAACAGAAAAGATAGATTAGGACTTGTCCTTTACATGAAATCATATCTAGTTAACGGATACATCTGGAATCAGAGTCCCAGTAGATATTGCAATGCCTGATAACAAACAGTTGCTCAATGGGAGAATATCTCAAAGAATGAACAGATCAAAGAGAAAAAAGAAATGGCTTAGTGGGAAAGCCTTTGATATTAAGTTGGACCTTTCAGATAACGGCACATTGCAGTTGACTGTAAGGCTGAGTCTATGTGGAAACCTTTAAAATGCTCTTTTCAGGAGATGCAAACAAGCCCATTCCTCTTTTTCAAAGATCCTCATTAAAATAATAAGCCTTTTGCTCTGAAATTCAAACAGCAGTGAAACAGCAACTTGAAGCAGAGGTTAGGTAGGTGATACGACAGCATTCCCTCTGACCATGGCTGAACTTTAACTCAAAAGAAATCCCAAACTATGTTACTGAACATTTGATCCAATGCAACATAAAATGAAACAGCCACTTTTTGCAAGTCTCTGTATATCCAATGGGGGAAAATAACCCTTCTTTAATATACTCAGTTCCAATAGCTCTACATATCCCTCAGTATTAGAAGCAGAGAAGTAATGAAACAATTTCCCTTGTTTTTTCACATCTCTATTCTTAACCACAAAAAGAATCCTTTTTTAAGAGAACGCTAAAGCTTGCACACATGTGGAATTTGGATTCACTGTAATAGGGTATTGTCCAGCTGTGGGTTTTATTTCTAGTTCATTCTAGAGAGTTTAGAATTTTTTTTTCATTCTTTTCATTTTTAGATATGACTCTGTAGCCAAAATGATGCCTCAAACACAAAAGACAGACATGTCAGAAACCTTTGGTAACCCCAGATTTACAGGTATCTAAAATGTTTACAGAATGTACACCATTTCTCCTAGCTAAATTTTATGCATTACAAGTGGTGGGAAGCTGAAATTGGTCCTGAAGTGGTATAGGACCTTATCACACAGGGTCTGAAGCAGTGCCATCCCCGTCGCATCCCCGTCCCATTCCGCTTCCTTATACAGAAAGCAGCATCATTCCGGTATCATTCCGGTCACGGGAAATGTAATTCTCATTTACAACTGGAATTAAAAAGAACGGGGATGATGCCGGATAATGCAGCATGATGCCGCATTGGGACGGGGATGCGACGGGGATGGGTGCGACGTCGTGTGAAAACATGGGGAAAAGAAGCACAATGGGACGGGGATGTGACGGGGATGGGTGGGGTTTCTCTGCGATGTCGTGTGAAAACAAGGGGAAGAGAAGCGCAATGGGACGGGGATGCGACGGGGATGGCACTGCTTCAGACCCCGTGTGATAAGGTCCATAGACTTTTTTCATCCATCAGAAATCTTAATACCCAAAGGGCAGAGACTGTTCTTAAACCACCTCTTCTCAAGTTTCTCAAACAATGGCCAAAATGCTCTTCCTTTGTTCCAACAAATGTCTTTGTTAGCCCAAGTCACAAAAGGACCACTGCCACCATAAACTGCTGAGTTTGGCAGCAAAGTTGCCCAGCCTTCTCTGCTATAAATCCTGAAGTTCCACACTGAAGTTACACCATAACCTCTGGTGTATTGCACACTAAATCAGACACTGTCTCCAAAAGAAGTTGCAACATCAGCCACTTGCTTGCAGTCTTGATATTTATGGAGAGTGCCCACCACTGGCA